ATAAAAGTCTCACAGGGATGTCGAGCTGCTAGAGCCCAGAGGACAGATAATGACATAGAGGAAATATGTCATTCCCAAGTATAGACTGAGCTGCAAAAAAACTGGAGAATCTCTGGGCAGAAAGTCAAGATCCAACCAGCTTGATACGGAGCTTTCTTTCCTCACTGATCCCACATCCTCGTCTTGTACTTCAGGCCCTGAGCAAAGGGTTGGGCCCATGACTTGAGAGACAGGAGTCCTGAGTTCTAGATTCTGCTTTGTGGTGATACCTTAAGCCTGTCATGCCACTTTCCTGGCCCCTATGTAACTAATCAGTAAAATGGAAGGGAAGATCCATTAGTATGTTATGCATCTACTTCTTATGAATGAAAAATCTCCTAGTACCATTGAGATTTCCCAAATAGTTCTGAGGTCCCTTCTTTAAAGCACAAAGAACAAACTATTACTTTGCAATAATAAATTTTTTTATCCTCATTGGAGGATATTTTTGCCATTGATTTATTTTAGAGTGAAAGGAGGAAGAGAGAGAGAGAGAGAGAGAGAGAGAGAGAGAGAGAGAGAGAGAGAGAATCATCAATGTGAGAGAGACACATCAATTTGTTGCCTCCTGCACATGCCCCAACTAGGGTCAGGAATCTGCAGCTGAGGTATGTGCCCTTGACCAGGAATCAAACCCATGACCCTTTGGTCTGTGGGGCAATGCTCTAACCAATTAACAAAACTGGCCAGGGCTGCAATAATAATTTTTTTAAAAGGTAGAAAGTGCATCTCTAAGTTGTGTTAGGAGAGGCTGGCGGTAAGCCTCCAGCTCCCTGGAGGAAAGGCTCTTCCGTAGTCCCATTTTCAGACCCATATTCATCATAATACTTCAGCACAATTAGGCAAGCTACTCAGTTGCTCCAAATATCCATCTCCCTTTACAAAGTACCATTGAAGCCTGTCAAAGGAGTGTGGAAGCATCCAGCACTCTCCTCTGTGAATGTCACTATGGTCAGAGGCTTGCTGTTGGGTTGATTTCATTAGCTGGCTGGGGACAACATACTCTCACCCGATTAACACTATTCCTTTCTCTTCTCTTCCTCTCTTCAGGCCCCTCATGAATCTTTTTTCTTCTTTCACTTGTTCAGCCATTCATCCTTGCAGGAAATATTTACTTGAGTGCCTTCTATGTGTCAGGCCCTGTGCCATGTGCAAGATATAGATCAGTAGCAAGCTGGGTAGCGTCCCTTCCCTTAGAGATTGCCTTGACCTTCCCTTGCATGCCTTTCATGTGAGTTGAAGCAAAAAATAGTGGAAAGACTCCTTAGCTCTCATCAGGGTACCTGTATTCTTGTCCCAACTCTGCTACTAGTCTAAGGGATAAGTCACTTAACCTGGCTTGGTATAATTTTCCTCTTCTGTAAATAAAAATGTTGAACAAGCCTGGCCAGTGTGGCTCAGTGGTTGAGCAAGAGCAGTCTCTAAGAATCTCTTGCATAGGTTTTTCCCAGTAGCTCCTAACTAATCTCCCTGCTTTCATTTTGCCCCTTCCTTCCCCCACTTTTTCAAAACATATTTTTATTGATTTAGAGAGAGAGGAAGGACGAGGGATAGAGAGATAGAGACATCAATGAGAGAGAGACATCGATCAGTTGCCTCCTGCTCTATGGATCAAGCCCGCAATCCAGGCATGTGCTCTGACTGGGAACTGAACTGGTGACCTCTTGGTTCATGGATTGACACTCATGTACTGAGCCACAGTGGCAGGGCCCTCCCCACTTTTTTAATTTTAAATACAGCAGCCAGACTAATCTTGTTAAAATGTTCAGTCAGATCTTGTTAGTCCTCTGCTCACATCCCCCCAATGGGGTGCACTCGGAATAAAACCCAAAGTCCTTACTATGCCCTGGAGGTAGTACATGCTCTAGCCCCAAACTACTTCTCTATCCTGGGACTCTTCCGTCATTCACTCCACCCAGGCACACTGGTCTCCTTGATGTGTCTTGCACACTCTCAGCACACCTCCCTCTCACAGCCTTTGCATATGCTTTTCCACTGCCTGGAGACCTCGCCCTCCCCTTCCTGAGGTTCACATGACTCATTCCCTGACTTCCTTCAGTCATGTGCTCAAATGTCTCCTTTTAGGAAGCCATTCCCTGATCTGACCTCCATATATACAACTGCCCCTTCGTGTCACTCTCTGTGCTTCGTGTCCCTTTTACTGTGCTTCTTTCTTTTCCATCTTTATGATTGCTTAATACATCATAACTTACTTATTTATCTTCTGTCTCCTGCCACTAGAAAATACACTCCATTAGAATAGGAATCTTTACCTACTTTGTCCCACTGCCTAGAATAGTGCCTGACATAGTAAGTGCTCAATAAATGTCTGTTGAAAGAATGAATCTCCTCTAATAATAAAATAAGTCTCAGTGTGTGTCGAAATTTATTCCTACCTAGAAGGATTCAAATCTGGCTACTGGGACTATGAGGGACCAGTCCAGTATTGGAATTAAGCTTCACAGAATACTTGCCAATAGAAATGGACCATCAGCAGAAACCAGTCCATTCCCTTCCATTCGGGTTTCTGTTTCATAGCATGGTAGTTTCACAAGAAGATGACACCTGAACACCATTTCTTTTATGCAGCTTCATGTGGTGCAAAGAGTAGGCATTACTGTCCTCATTTGGCTTAGGCCCAGAAAGTTTGGTCATTTATCCCATATCATCCAGCCTTTTTGAGGCAGAGATATAATAAGAACTTAAGTCCCTGACTCCAAGCCTACAGTTGTTTATTTTCAATAGTGACCTACACAAGACAGGAAGATCTGGGTGTACTCTTTACAGGCAAAAGAAATATGCGAGATATGGGGTAAAAGGTGTAGATTCGTAACCATGAGTAGCTTTTCCCACTGAACCTCTGGAGGGTTTGCATGTTCCAGGGGTTCAAAGTATTATTTCTCTTACATATTGTCATATCCCCGACGCTTGGTACATGCTCAGTTCGTGTGTACTGATTCAATAAAAGTAGGAGCCTACTAGATAATAATTATTCTCGGGTAATAATTACTCTCACCTCCTGCAGAGGCCAAAGGCTCAGAGACATTCACACCCACAAAGAGCAACACCACACACACACACACACACACACACACACACACACACACAGCAACCCTTGAAGGAGAAAAAAAAGAAAAAGTAACTTCTACACACTGTATTCACACCTGCCTGCACAGGTGCTTCCTAACCAGATGAGGAGCTAGGACAAAGTTGCCAGCTCACAGTTTGTTTTGGTACCTCAAGGGGTACAATGCCCCCCAGTTGTGAGTATGGGAAACAGAGTTTATTCTGGTATTAATATTTATTAATTATTGTATTTTTCCATACAAACAACTATAAACCTACCCTGTATGCTTCTGTGGACATACACCCATTTACAAACACAAATGCACATATGCACTTAACATTCACTTCAGAATTAGTCATTTTACAAATCATAAATCAATTTATGTAGACAGAAATATACAAGCTTGTCTGGCTCAAGCATACTCACAAATGTAAAAACACAAGTACACAAACACATTCATGAAGATAATGTTTACCTCAAGGTATGACTGTAAAAGTAAATGAGATTATGTGAAGTGCACAATAATACCTGGCACATACAAGGCATGCTAATAAAGGTTAGTGATCAATAGATACATGATATAAATTTGTATCAGACTTATATGAATACCCACCTTCCAAGCAACATTTTTCCAGTCACTATTCAGGACCTCATGGAAATTCTAAGTAGCTCATTACTTTCTGGTGTGCAGGAGCCAATAAAAAAAGGAAGGAATGTGGGGTGTGCTATCATCCTAGGGGCGGGGAGGAGGCTGGTGAACAAAGCTTTCCTTATTGTGCTTTTTTCCTGGGGAGAAGGCCTGGACTTGGAGGGAGCTGAACTGTTACGAATTATTCTAGAGAGAACCAGCCTCCAAAAACTCAAAAGAAGGAGTCCCTAGAGTTACTGGATAGGAGGGAGGCTTGGTAGACGGGGAGGGAGAGACCCCACAGTCCCAATCCATTCAAATCAGCCAGAAAACCCTCAGAGGCCAGCAATCCATTAGAGCCCGGTAGCTTGGAGAAAATCTGATTAACTCCACCTCCCCAGCTGAGCTCTAGAGTGAAATGTATAGCTGGTTTCTGACACTCAAATAAGGTGGGAGAACAGAAGCAGGAGGAAGAAAAAGTAACGGGATGGGAGTGGTAAGCACTGAATACCTGTATGTACCGCTTGGCCCTGCCATTATTTTGGAGCAAACCACAGCTCCCTGCGACCCTGGTTCCCCAGCTTATAAGATGTAAATGAAACTGTCTCCTGCCTAGCTGGAAGATGGCATATCTTTCTTGTCTCCTGAAAGGGTGAGAGCATGAGGCCAGGACTGCTCCCTCTTGATCCTGGAAATTGCTCAAGGAATTTCCCCTGTCTTCCTGCTGCCCTGGCCCTGGGGGAGGGAGTGGGGCAGGGGTGCCTTCTTTTATCGACTAGGCTTCTTTTTGAAACCTCTCTCTCTTTTTTTCCTGGGGCCAAATATTATAACTTCAGAGCTCTAAAGAAACTCAAGGACCTGATTCAATTCTTCCCATTTAAGATGAAAAAAAATGAGCCCAGAAGTATGTCTGAACTGGGGCCCATGGATTTGTTTTATTCACATAAACTACATTCTTTAAAAAACAAGACATTGTTTTGAAAGACCTGGAGAGATTAACTCCATAACTTCCTCTACCCCACCGCCCCCATGCAAAGGAGAGGAAAGATGGAATCTCTTCCAGCACTCTAAGCGTTAAACTCAACCCAGAGTCTAACACGCAATTGGCCAAGCACTGGAAAAAGATCTGGTTTTTGCAGCCGTTGGCCAATGAGCATCTCGAGTGGGAGGGTTTGAAGATACTAAGGAGTTTTCCCCCCTTTTTTTTTTCTCTCTCTCTCCACCCTCTCCCCTCGGCGATTGCCTGCCCCCCCTCCCCTTCCAATCCCCAACGCCGCCAGTTTGTTAAATTAATGCAGTAAGAAAGTCTGAAGATCTGAAGGAGTCCTGGCAAAAGGAAGATGGGCAAGCTCAGAAAACCAAGATGCATCTGAAGCCTGAGGTTCCTGAGCCCCGCGGAGTCGCCATGGACCCTGGCAGCCCCCGAAACTTGCCCTAAGCTCCCTCACATCTGCAGCCCCGAGCAATGGGACACCTTTCCTGCAGTGATCATAACTTATTCGTCGGGGGCCAGAGAACAGGAATCGCAAGGCGACAGCAGACCGACACGCAGGCAGGGGAACGAGATTCCGGGACTCGGTCGCGATGCGCCAGCCTGGCATATTCTCTGGGATTTAACTGAAGGCAGCACCGCCAATCGCTTCCCCTCGCCCCTAACCCCCTCAGCATTAAGCCCTACTCTCACTACCCAAGATGCTTGCCCCATCTAACCGTCCGCGGCCAGCGCTCTGATCTCCACGGAAGATTTTTTTTCTTGCATGAAGCTGACCATTTAAACAGAAAAACGGGTAAAAAAGAAAATATACCCACCCCCAAACGTGCCTCCCCAGCGCCGCAGGGAGCCAACAGACACGCTGGAGTTTAACAAGCAGCAATACTCTCCGCGCTCTCCAAAATCAGGGCTGGACGCTCTCCGTGGTGCTGAAACGCTTCGCGGCGGCGGCGGCGGCGGCGGCTGTCCGTGGTACCTATAGCCCCCTCCTCCAATTTCCCCTGGGGCTTTCCCTCCGCGCCTGTTTCCCACCTCCCCTCGGCATCTGGATTATTTTTTCAATAGCGCTCGCTGGTTTTGTAAGTACCAATTTGAAACATATTTTTGGCCCCATAACTCGTGGACTACAAAGCACAAGGACCTGAAAATGTACAGCTTCAATACTCTTCGACTCTACCTTTGGGAGACCATTGTATTCTTCAGGTATGCAATTTTCTACTGACCACATCGCTCTGATGAAAATGGGGGAAAGGAGCACGGAGGCTGACTCTGTCCGTGATCCCCTCTTTGGGGTGGGGGGAGATGCCGTACCCCGCTGCAATCGGGTCCTTCCATCCGCCGCTCCCCCCTCCCCCCACCCCGCCCTCAGGGTGTCTGGCGTGTGCGTGGAGGTCTGAGACAGCCGTTGCTCTGGCAGCTGTTTACCTGTTTCTTGTGATTTGTTTGTCCTTCCGCCTGCTACACCCCCACCCCATCACTGGCCCCCAGGACCCCTGCATTTGGCTCTCACTCAGCTGGGGACTTTAAGGGGAAGCTTTAGGAGTTACTCAGTTTAATTAGGACTGCATTCTCTCTAACCGCAGTGCCGAAAATCTCAGCTCTCCTGTCTGGGGGAACCAAGTGACAACTAGTGGTGACGGGGGAGGTTGCACTCGAACTCACTGGCCACAGAACATTTCATTTTCTCTCTTTTTTTTGTTTCCGTTTTCTGCGGGGTGTGGGTGCATGTTACTGAGGCTTCGTGCTTGGAAAAAAAATAGTGTTACGACCTCAGGTTGTAAAGCCCTAAACTTGGGTGTACAGCGGATTGACTTAGAATCAGATCCTGGGGAACATTTCTCTTTCGAAACTTTGACTCTCCCCTCTCCCCGACTCACCTTTCCAAACTCTACTTTATTAGCTGAAGATCCTGACCTGATTGGCAATTCCTGTATGTGTTTTGTTTTTTAATTTATGTCTACTCCTGACTAAATAGCTGAGTTCCCCTACCCATTTTCTCCCAGGTTAAAATTTTTTGCCTACAGGCTTAGCATTCTTATGTTAATACAAGCAAAAAGTGAAAAATCGCCTTTTCAGGAAGCATTGAAATAGATAGTCCTTTTGAGAGTGGGTGAATCATGCCATCTTCAGAGATGATAATGATAAATTCCATTTACATGAATTGAAAAAAATTATTCTTCTTCCATGACCTGCAGGGATCATTAATCTTTCTCATTTTAGATGCCTGCCTCTCGTGTTTTACCATGGCATTGGGTTAACAGTAATTTGAAAAACCTACTCCTTTTTAAAATAAGTAACCATCAAATATTATTCTCTCTTATAAATCGGCAAGTAATTTTGGGGTTTTTTGTTTTATTATATTTTAGAGAGGTCTGCATATGAATTGTTGGTTTAACTAATCTGTCGGTTGGTTTATTAAATGAATGACACCTCCCCCTACATTTTAAGGGTCTATATGTAAGCTTTTCTTCATGTCTTTCTCTTGAGATAAAAAGAAGACCCTTCTCCTTCTCTGAGGTACCCAATGCTAAAGCTTCTAATCCCCGGTTCAAATCATTCTTTAATAGGCCATAGTCCTGCCCACAGCTCAGAATGCAAATAGTCAGGGAGTCAGATAGAATTTTAAAAGTGCAACAATCGAGGGCCCTGTGAAATGTAGCTACTATATGGGGGAAAAGGCAGAAAGTACCCTCTTAATTTAACAATATCAAATCCTTTCTCCCCTATATACATAGTAGAACTGTACTTGGTCACATTTGTATGCAAATTGATTCTCTGTTTGGTTTAAGAAGACAGAACTGTACCAGAGAGATTAAAGAACAAATTAATAAAACCAAGCACATCACCCACCCCCAACTCTTTTTTATTGGTGAACAGTAAGTATAGTTATTTTATTCTCCCGACATTGTCTTTCACAAAAGGGAAACACAGTTTAAAAGGTTTGAATTGCAATCGTTTTGATAAGGCTGTGAATGCACCATGTTAGTACTTTAAGGAAAGTGGTGGTGGCCTATCAGGAAGCATCACTCTACATCTCCTTCCCCTGCGTGTGTCAAGACATACATGAGCTATGATGGGTATGGGATATGACTCCATGTGTTTATAAGGAAAGAAGAGTCATGACTGAAGGGCTGGGAAGGGATTTGTACCATTGCACTTTCAAAATACAGAAATGGCTTCATTATTTGAGGAGTCAATGTTGCTTCAGAAATGTCCTGAGACATAAAATAATAAAAATGAGAACTGAACTAGGAAAATTCCCCCAGCAATTTTTCAGAGAGGCGGGGGGAGGAGGGGAGTTACAAGGAGGGAAAGTATTATCTTTGTCTAATTGGCATTTTCATTTCTAACTCTCTCATTTTCTAAATTTTAGGTGAAAATAAGGAAGCATTAAAATCTGGGGGTTTGATAGAATGCATGTGGAGGTAAATGGAGACTGGCAGCTCCCTAGAAGGTTCCAGGTGAATAATCCCTTCTCCCCCAAGGGACAGGCACTGTGTTGAAATAAGACAATCCAATAATCTCAGGCACCCAGGTACTCCTTATATTGAATGATGCCAGATGCTCACCTTGTTGGGAAATCTGGGGGCTAGAGAAGAAAAGAGCCTGGATAACAGAAATGCTGCTGCATCAGCACATAACCAGCGAAATGGCAATAATGACAGCAAAACAAACAAAACAACAGAGTGCGTGAGGCAGAAATCTCCTCCGGTGCCAACACAGAGAACAATCGAGGCCTTAGAAAGAGCTGAGGGGGAGAGAGACTAGGGTCCTGGGAGACAAGCAAACAGCACTGCGGTGCTCATCAACTGTGTCCCCATTACTAAAATCAAGTGATTTGGCTGAAGTTCCTGCTCTGATATTTGAAAAGCCTGTGGGTCTAGAATTCCAGAAGTGCCATTCTAGGATGCAATAACCAATATTGTCTCTTTATTTTTATCAATGAGGATGGGGCTTTATATCCAGAAAGATGAGTTGTTTTATAGTAGAAATGCATTCCTTTTAAGTCAAAGAGAACTGACTTTGACTCTGAGAGCCCTTACAGTGGCTTATGGGTGGGGAGGTACCAGGGCAACCCCACAATTTTCTCACCTACTCAATAACTCAAATAGACCCGTGGTAAATAACCACATCTCGCAATCTCAGCACTGCTGGCATGTGAACTGGAGAATTCTTTGTTATGAGGGCTGCCTGGTGCATTGTAAGATGTTTAGCAGCATCCTTAGCACCATAGCACCTCCTCCTCAGTCTTGATCATCAAAAAGCTCTCCAGACACTGCCAAAAATCCAGGGGTGGGGACCAACTTGGCTGCAGTAGAAAACCACTGGTATACAGTGACAACTGTTTAATCTGTTGCTCTGATGTACTAATTAGAATAAGGAAGGAAGAAAATGCCCCTCGTGAAACGCTTAAAGCATCGCAGTGAAGCAAAGAGAGCCCTGGCTTGTGCTTGAGAAGGGAATAAAGGCAGAGGAGATAAACCAAGTCTAAGCCATGGGTGGCTTCCCCAAATGATGACAGCTTTTCTCTATGTGCCAGTTCCACCTGCCGTCCCAGCAAATGCTTCCTTGCACAGGGTTTTGGACTGAATATGGTGCTCATTTGCTAAGAAAGGTCACCGAAACCTTGAAAGGAAGATGTTTCTAGCACACCAGGGTCAAAAAAAAACATGGCAAATAGATTTTTGCTCAGATCTCGGTGCTGGAAAATCACCCAGTTGAAAGATAAATGAGCTTCCCATCAAAATGGCCCCTCTGGCTTCCTGGTTCTGAGCTTGCCAAGAGGGGCAGATGACCACCTGGATCTTTCCCTCCGGGTAGCATAGCCGGAGTCTCCTGAAATCTCACCCGCGGCAGTTGGGACACTGCGAAAGTGCCTAGGAGCTCCTAAAATGGGTCAAGGACTTTTTCTTAAGGAGAGAAGCCCCTAGGGCAAGTTTGCAGTAGGGCCAATCAAAATGTCACTCTACCCCCTTTTGGGGGTTTAGGAACCATGAGAAAGAGAAAACATCATGTCTTAAGTCCCCGTGGGTCTGCTTAGCCTAGGACTCTAGACTGGTGAGTGGAATTATGGACCGGCACATACCTTCCGCATGTTTGCAAAACTGATAATGACCTTTCAGGGGCATCCAGGGAATTCATTGTGGAGACCACCTTGTGAAGGAGGTTGCACCATGGGGTGCAGTGGGAAGAGCAGATAGGCTGTGATTTGAGACTTCCCCACCCCCATCCCCAGGGCCAGTTCTGTTCCCAGCCTGCAGCATGGCTTTGTCAAGTCTCTTCCCCTTATGGGGACTCCGTTTTCTTACCAAATGACTGATTCTGACACCTCTCAGTTCCCTGCAGCCTCCTCTCAAGTCTTTATGAGAGACAGAGGCCATGCCCCCACAGGCTCAGGATGAATCTGCCTCACTGCTCACACTGCCTTCATTCTTGACCAGGCACTTATTTATCATGTGCTCATGTGTCCAGCCTGAAACTAAGCACTCTGCAGGGGAGACAGAGGTAGCAGATGCCACAGCCCCTGTCCCTGCAGGAAGGGGAGACACTGCTCCCTATAAGGCTACATCAAAACCCTCCCTCCTTCTCCAGAGGACCCGCAGAGCTCCCCTCCCGCAGCCTGTGCGCGTCCTGCGACAGCGCATTCATGTGGCATCATTAACTTTATTCCCTTCATCAGCTGACAGAAGCCAGGATGATTTTTAAGATGGATGGCACTGTCTACCGCCTGGCCATCTTGATGCTATCCTGCAGGCTTTCTGCTGCTTTGGGCAAAGCGGCCTTGGCCCAAAGGGAGGAAACCTGGAATCCAGAATTTAGCTAGTGGCATGACCTTGAGAGGGTCCCATGACCTTTCCAGCCTCAGTTTCCCTAGCCACAAAAGGAAGGGAATTGACAAATCACTCTGTCTAAAATAATTTTTAGCTGTGTCAGCCAAAAATTATATTCTCCCCATCTCCTCCATAATAGAACGGTTTGAGGTACAGCTATCAGCATATTTCAATTATTATAAGAGCAACACTGAATTCTATTCAGGCTCAAAGTCCTGAAAGAATTGAGGACCTCACTAACAACTTCACTCTCTGGATAGTTATCTCAACCTGGAAACCATTATTGACAGGTCCCATAAATATGTCAGTTTCCCCAGAAAATGCTTCTTATGATGAGAAATCATGATGCCTGATCACTATCCTCAGAGATGT